CCCCCCCCCCCGTTTTTGATCCCATTCCCCACTAGGTGAGGAGTATTTTTAAATGGCCTTTTAGATAATCATGGTTATTATTTTTTAATTCTACACACAACTCAGTGAATGGTAGTTTTCTTCTTCATGTGGGTCAGCTCCCTGGCCGGGGATAGAACTTGTGCTGCAGTTGCTGTGGAGAGCTTCACAGTGCTAAGACTAACCCCTTGTACCACCAGAGAGGCCAGAATGGTAATTTCTTAAAACATACTTGCAGTATGGAATCCGAAGGCAGATCAGATAACTTTGCTTCCTTTGTTTCTTTCCATTGGTCTGTCTAGCACTGTTTTACCATGTGTGACTTTGTAATGTCACATACATGTGTCATTTAGAAAAGATTGGGGCATTTGTTCCCACAGTGATGTTATTGAAAGCTTAGATTTGTGTGTTTTAATCAGTGTGTTTAATTATGTTGCTTGAGGAAGCTAGCGTTAGTTTAAACACTGTACTTTAAGGTGGTTCACACCTTTACAAATGTTTATCACGCCATGAAAACTGGCAGAGCCCCAGCAAATCTCCAGGAGAGTATTGATTCCCTCTTCCCCTTTGATTCCATCCTCCTACCCTCCCCTTCTGGTAGCCTCAGTTCTGCAGTTTGAAGCATTTGTTTTGTTTTGTTCTTGGTCTTTTCCTGGGAAGCTTCAATTTTATTATAGGCAGTGCTGTCAGTTGTTTTTCTTGAAGTAACAGGCTCACTTCATTCATTTTTCAAGGTGTTTGCCAGTACCTAAGTCTGAGTGACCATGTTTGTCTGTAGGTCATTTTTCTCACATGAAGCTGGTGTTCTGTGAAAGCAGCAGCTAGTTCAGCTCGCCAGTCCAGTGACACAGCTTTCCTCACGACAGCAGTGCGAGTGTCTTCTGTGTTCTAGACATGTACTTTGGGCTGAGGGCCAACAGGATCCTTTTTTCAGCTGTTTTTCTTGATTTGTTTCTCTACATTAGGAGTGTGCTAACAACTGGTAGACTCAGGACCAGCTCCCTGAAGGAACCAGCAGTTTTATTACCCACTGCAGATTTACACTGTTAGCGCATATGTCAGCCCAGGCATAGTGGCTAATGATGTTTTAATAATATGAAGAGTCAAGGCTTTATATACTCTCTGCGGGTGCTCAGTACCACACTTTGAGAACTGCTGTTATTAGAAGAAACAATCGTGAAGAGATTAGGTGATTTATAGAAGTCCGCATGTTTGGCTAGTTAAAAAAATTTCTACCTCAGATATTATTTGGACGCTACTTTTCAGCTTAATCAGTGAATTCACACCTAATACATTTATTAGTCAAACTCAGCAATGAAACGGCAATACTTTATAGAGCCATTTTTGCTGAGTAAAGGAGCAGGTCAGCCCTTCATCACTCAACCACTGTGCTCACACACTGACCTCCACTGTATGCCAAGCTCTGCCAGGGATCTAGAGAGATTCCATAGGGTTCCCCTCCTGGAGGGGATAGAGGTTCTAAGGTACTTTACTAATCCCCATGCTAGGCGATCTTTTCTAAACTTGCCTATTAAGAACACATTTCCAGGCCCTCCCGGGTGGCGTAGCAAGTTAAAGCACCTCACTATGAAGCTCTCCGCAGCCACTGCAGCACGAGTTCGATCCCCAGCCAGGGAGGTGACCCACATGGTGCGGCAGACCTCTCCTGACCCGCCCGCTGCTCCCTCAGCAGTGGACTTCATCAATCTGCCTGTTGTACTCCCCGCTGACTCTGGTGAATCCTCTCACTGCCCCTGCACCTCTGGCCTGTACCCCAGCTCTCTCTGCATAAATAAAAAATAAATAAACCTTAAAAAAGGGAAAGAACATGTTTCCTAAAATAGTTGGCTACAGTTTTAGTCTTTGTGGCAGAGCCTATCCCATGTCACTTACAGAAGGACAGGTGAAGGAGTAGGAGAAGAACTTAGTCTGAGACCTTTGTTTTGTATTAAGTTTACAAAGTTAAGTTTAGCTGAAGTTAGTAAACTGTAAATTTAGCTATACATTTATTATAGATCTTCTCTGTCAGTGGAAACAACAGGGGCAGAATTAGAGGGCAGACAAGGAAGGTGGGTCTTAAGCAATTATCTTTCAGCCCAGAGACAGTTTGCCTTGCTGGGGGTGTCTGAGCAGGACTCTGTCTCAGTCGTTCTTCCCCGCGGAGGATGTGATTGCAGTGTGCCTGGGTGGCCCTTCCTCTCACTCTTCTCCCTCTGCTTCCCCAGAGTCAGGACTGTCTGCAGTTGGGTCCTCCTGCTGAAGGGGAAGTGGTCCAAGTGAGATGGACAGATGGACAAGTCTATGGAGCCAAGTTTGTGGCATCTCACCCCATCCAGATGTACCAGGTAGCCAAGGTTTTTTGCTGGGGATGTATTTATTCTTGGGTTGAGGTGAGTAGCTAGGGTTTCTGTAACAACCTTCTCAGAACTCGTGGCTACTTGGGTGCAGCCTGCCAGATAGAGCTTCGGACCTTTCTGTGACCTTAGAATCTGCCTCTGTATGTGGTGGACGGGGAGACGGTCAGGAATATCTCAGCCTTTGTTTCCTGGTAGGTGGAGTTTGAAGATGGTTCTCAGCTTGTGGTTAAGAGAGATGATGTGTACACGCTGGATGAAGAGCTTCCCAAGAGAGTCAAGTCAAGACTGGTAAGTGGATTTTTGGGGTGCCTTTAATTCCTTAGTCTGGGTGGTAGGGCACAAAGCAAGGATGTGTCCCTTTGTTATTTTATTTGGGGCGGGATGAGTGGCCTGTTGACTACAAAGTGCTCATTTGGCTTTTTCCTCTTTAGTCAGTAGCCTCAGATATGCGCTTCAATGAAATTTTCACAGAAAAAGAGGTTAAGCAGGAAAAGAAACGACAACGAGTTATCAACTCAAGATACCGGGAAGATTACATTGAGCCTGCATTGTACCGGGCCATCATGGAGTAGATACTTCCAGGGGCCGAGAGATTTCCAGCCATCGAGGCGAGAGCACTCTGGGGGTTCCACAGCACAGCAGACACTTGGAACTCTGCAGTCTCTAAAGGCAAAGTTGTAAAAAGAAAAAGAATGAAATAACCGACCCCATCATCTTCTCACCCCACCCTCATTGCATTCCGCTGTAGTGAAAGGACAAGCTGTTCCTGGACACGTGGTAGCAGCCGATCTCCCAGCCGAGGGGCTGAGCACTGGAATGCTGCGGCTGCGCTGGCCCCAGTCTCCAGCGGGGTCGACTGCCAGCTGGGCTGGAGCCCTGTTCTGGCCGAGGACTTAGCTTCCAAGTGATCACCTGCACTGACCAGGCAGAAGTGCTGGTGCTTGTCTCCTTCCCTTTTGTATTTATGTGTGTGTGTGATTGTGTGCGTGTGTGTGTGTATGCGTGCGTGTGCTTGGCCTGGACCAGCTTCTGCCTGCCCCTGGCCTCTACTTCCTTGCCTATCCAGGCCAAACAAAATGTGAAATTCTGCCCTCGGCTGAGCTGAGTAAGGGCCCCTAGGAGTAGGATGGAGGTAGGGGTGCATCTCTCTGTCCCTGGAACTATCTGGAGGGAGTGCTGGCAGAGTTGCATTATTGAGATTCTACGGAGTCGATGCCACTTCTGTCCTCTGATAAAGGAGAACATTGGGGTAACATGGATATATGCCCACAATCACTTGAGGTGCACAGGGCTCCTGTGGCCAGTGTTAGAGGGCGTGGGTGGGGAACACCTGAAAGGAGGGATCTTAATGATGGCAGCAGGCAGAGCCTGGTGGGTGATTCTTTTAACAGAAAATTGCAATCATGTAGGGGTTGGGAGGGTTAGGATGAATTGGGGCCACTGGTGGCCAGGGGCAGGTTTAGGTAGGACCCTGGTCTTGAGGGGGGGGTTGTATATGGGGGAGGGGTGGGTGGGACCGGAGGGCAATACTGAAGGGGTTAAACAGGTTTTTGCTCCTCATAAATTTGTTTGCCTGGGCCCAGGATTGGAGGGCTTCACAACTATATCCTGTGTATACGAGAATCAGATTTATAATACTTCCCTGTTTTTTGTTACGTATGAACGCTATAAACCAAATTATTTTGAAAACCGGTGCATCACCTTGTCCTTAGCAATAAAATGCGTTGAGCAGAGGATTGGCTTTGTCTGCCCAAGGAGCCCTAAGTGGCCCAGGGTCAGGCTGAGGATGTATTGAGAGGCGTAGGCAATGGAGTAGAGCCACATGTTTGAAGACTCCAGTACATGGAGAAAGTCACTCTAATGAGATGGGCTCCACGTTGAGGTCAGTCCTGTGATTATCTGACCAAGTGTGGAGGAACAGGCCAGGGCAGCTGAGGAACCCTGACCATGAGCCCATAATTTTGCATCCCTTGTCTTCAAGCCAGGAAGGGGGAGATCATAATATAGAGGAATGACTAGACCATTTCCAGTCTTCAGAGTGAGTTTGAATTCACTTTTGTTTCACTCCATAGTCCTCATTGAGCTAGGACAGTTCTTGAGCCAGTCTGAAAGGGGAGTGCATTGCAAGTTCTTGAAAAGAGGTTGCTGAAGTTGCTCTGAGCTGCTTGAAATGGATGGAAGCTTTGCTGGAGAGACCCATTATTTCCTTTGCCTGGAGGCTTCCTGAGCTCCAGAAGGAAGGGCAGAAGAGCAGCAGGATGGTGAGCAGCCTGTGAATAGGTGTGGGATTGGGCAGCCAGGGCACTCCCTGTTTTGTGGCTGTGGAGTTGTGGGACAGACTGGAGCAGCTCTCAATACTGCTTTGTGTCTGGCACTTGAGAGCTGGCTGCTACCTCGTATTGGGCTGTGGGAGAAGGGAGAAACAGGTTTCAAGGAGGCTTCTGAGCCAGTTTCTCTGGGGACCAAGAAAGGGAGGTCAACTTTGGTCAGCATCCAAGGATTCCCATAGGGGAGCTGGGGAAGGGGTCCAGGCTTTAATGGGTTGATGAGCCCCGAAAGCACACATCTTTGGAGGGAAGGAACACTTCCCCAGAATCTGCAAGTTCCCAGACCTCCCTACTACTCACTGAGTGCAACACCCCAGTCTTAATGAAGAACCTGCAAGAATAGGGTGCCAGGTCAAATTTCCAGTATTTTTATTTTTTAACGAAAGTAATAACTGGGGGACTGAAGTTTAGAGTTGTTGAGACTGACCACCCAACAGATAAACCTGCCTCTCACTGTCCACTCAAGCCCAGGCCTTACAGCACTAACTTCAGGGAAGTCATGTGAGCCTGCTTACAGTTCCTTTACAGAATTGTTTTTGCAGAGCAACCTGCTCTTGAAGTTAGGTGGGATTGGGCATTTTGAAGGTTACTCTACCCTCCTGTTGACCCCACGACAGAAGTTATATATTGTACCCCAGGCAGTTAATGTTGGTACTCAGTTGGGGGAAGGAGGAAGTAAGGTGAGAGCTGGGATCCCAGAGATCCAAAGACTGGACAGAATGGCTCTGTACCCTAAGATATGTATGCATGTTTCTGAAGAACCCTGGTAAAGGAGTAGCCATAAATCCACCAGATAAAAATAGTCTTCCAGCTTGGGGGTTGGGGTCGGGGGTGCGGTGGAGGGTCGGGGGGGAAAACCCCTGGTAGCCTTTTTAGTACAGAAGAGCAGCCTGGGACCTTTGTCCCTTGTCGCACAGGATTGGGCATTGTTGCCTAAAGACATACAGTGACACGTAGCAGGACTCACCCTGGCTCTGGGGCAGATGCCTGCATCCTTTTGTGCAGGTTGACCTTGGGTACCCTGCATTCTGCCTAAGAGGTCCCGCCTCCTAGGTGTGGAAACCAGCTCTCCGCGACTTGGGGCATCCCAGAGGCCTCGCTGCCATGTCAACGTCTAGTACGAACATGAGTGGCGTGTGAACCGGACAGGAATTCCTCAAGGAAGAACCTGCTGGGGCTGGGGGGAGCCGAGGTGAAGGACTCCCTTCTGGAGCAGCCAGCTCGGCCGGCGCGGAGGGCGCCGAGGTCTCAGCCCCGGTGCCTGGGGACAGCGAGGGGAAACGGGGGCTCCTGTGCCCATTGGGTCCCGCGGGGCTTGCGCCCGCCCCCCTTCTGCAGCGCGGCTCTGCATTGGCCAGGCCCGCGCCCCGCCCGGCTCCCTCGCGCCGATTGGCCGCGGACGGCCTCCCGGGCGAAGGCGCTGTGGCGGAGAGCGGGATTGGTGGTCCCGCCGTCCCTGGGTCGCGGCCGC